TTCCCTCATTACATACAATACAAGCAGAGAGAGACAAGAGAGAACAAGCTTCTCTTTCCGTTTTTTCATTTACCCATTTGCTCCATTCTCCTCGTTCTTCTCATTTTTATCACTTCCTTCCGAGAAGGGCATTCAAAAGAAGCAGGAAGGGAAGGTGAGATGAGAAAAAAGCCTGTATATAATATAGCCTCATTGTTTCTTTTTCCCTTTCCTTTCCTTTTTTTTCTCCCCCAGTTCCTTTTCCTACATTCTCTCTTACTTTCTGACTTTGTCAAGGTGGGATAAAATAGGGGGGGGGGGGGGGATGCATTTTGTATTGGAGAAAAGTTTAGAAGATATCCCTCCCCACCATAGAAAAGAAAAGCAAAAGAAAAGAAAACGAGAATAAAATCTACCTCACAAGTAATGGGGATAGAAAAAGGGAGAATAAACAAAATAAAGACCAAATATAGAAAAAGAGAAGAATTGATGGATCGAATGCTGATTTTCGACAGCTAAAAAATAACAGAATAGAAGGGGGAAGGGGGGCGGTTTGCACTTCGCAAAAGGTTATTTTGATTTGTTACTTCTTAAGAACGGATATGAATAAATGAATAAAATTAGCGTATCATATATAACCATAACTAGCAAAGTAAAAAGAGAAAGAAAAAAAATTCCGAATACCGAATACAATGAATGCTTCATCAAACAGGTGGTGGATGATAGGGAAAAATAAGAATGGAAGACAAATAAGCGGAGAGAGAGAGAGAAACACAAAAGTTAAAGAAAATTTATTCCGACAGCATCTTCCACTGCCCCTGGCTATGCGGAGGCGGCGGTAGGGGTACCTGTAACGGTATCATTCATGGCCCTATCCGTCGTAGTGGCAGTCCCATACTCCGCCCTGCGCATAATATCCTCCACAGGGCCCAGCAATCTCTTAAACCCGTCCCGCCCCAGCTGCGCAACCTTCACATCCGTCACGGCTACCACACTCGCGGCGCGCGGCTTCTCGTCCAACAGGGCCAGCTCACCAAAGTAGTCGCCGCGCTTGTAGCGCTTCACGGGAGCACCGGAAGCAATACCATGCTTGAAGGCGGCCGCCTCGCCCGCCTCGAGAAGGAAGAAGGTGTTGCCCGGGTCACCTTCGCGGATGATGACGGCGCCCGCGGGGTGCTTGACAGTGTCGAGGGCGTCGGCGATCTTGGCACGTTCGTAGGACTTCAGGGAGGCGAGGAGAGGCACTTCTTCCAGGAACGCTTCGTACATGCGCCGCCGTTGGAAGGCGGCGTCCATCAGGATGCGGCGGAAGGTGATGCGGTCCAGGGCCCAGAGGGTGGATTTGGGTTCGGTGGATACGACGGTGGCGGCGCGGGGAGCGTTGTACATCAAGGCTAGCTCGCCGAAGGAGCCACCTGGGCCGATGGCGTCGACTTTCGTGCCTAGACCGCTGGTCCCACCGGGAGATGAGGTTGTTTGCTGGACGGAGCCTGATGGGTTGATGTAAATGTCGAAGCAGCCGTCTTCGACGATGTAGAAGTAGTCGCCGGCATCACCTTGGGTGATGACCTTGATTCCCTTAGCGGGGATTGGTTTCTCAACGAGGGCGTTGAGGACGGTTTCGAATTGCTCTTCATCGAGGTGGGAGAAGAGGAAGTTTGAGCTAACGGCGTTTTGAAGGCGGGATCGTTGTAAGGGGGTTTTGGGGTGGTAAGGGGGAACCCAGGAATCAGCGCCGGAATTAGAGGGATTTAGAGATTCGGCAGAGACGGAGGTACGGCGGCCTAGGGCGTAGTTATATGGGAAGCCGGACGATGATTCTTCCCCTCCTCCCCCTCCTCCTCCTCCTAGTCCAGGGATGTCAGTAGAGGAGGGGTTAGGGAATGCGTTGGGGGCATGTTGGGCCTGGAGCCCACCAGGGGAAAATGGGTTGTTATGATGTTGGAAAGGGCTTCCAACTTCTCTCCCTGATGGAATCTGCAGAGCAGACGGCCCTCCAGGGTCTGCGTGTGGATATGTGGAAGCGAAGGGAGGATCTCGATAATCCCCTGTGGGGTTGTGGAAAGCAGCTTCAGTGGGAGAACCTAGCGGTTCGTCCTCTTCCTCGATCTTGGATACACTGGACGCCCCACCAAAGGGGTTGGACCGTTGGAACATATTGTTGGCCATGGTGGTGACGCCCACAGTCAGTGGTGAGGAGGTTGTGGTGGGGGAAGAGGGGGGAAGAAAAGAGAGTTCTTCAGGGAGTGAATTTTGTGCAGGAGCGGCGCAAACGTTCGAAACTTTTTTCTCTCCCTCTCCTTGGAGGGCTGAAGAATGGGCGAGACAACGGAGAGGACAGCGACAAAATACTGTGGAGAGGCGACGCAGAGGATAGCAAAAGGGAAGACTGAAGGGCATTGATCATGCACGAGAGGATAGTATGGAGTTGGTGCAGGATAAGGCAAGC